GCGCCATAAATTGTGCTGTAAATAAAAAAAAAATTTGGTTGCACAAAGTAATTTGGTTTATGGGTCCCAACTCTCTCTCGCTCTTGTTCACCAATTGGAGGCGTCAAATTCTGTTTGCCGATCAAAACAAAATTATCATTTTTGGCCAGAAAATTCATTTTTCGGGGCATCCCACATGCGCTTATTTGCATATTTGGCTGCTGATTAATGTTTGATGTGCAGTAATTAAATAGACACACACACACGCACACTCGCATGCAATCATGTTGCATGCAAATTTTCTGGGTTCCAAGTCCCTTTGTTACTGCCACTAGCTGCTACCCCTCTCTTTCTCCCACTAGCTTTCCCTCTCTCTCTGTCTCTATTTGAGGTTTATGTTTATGCAATTTCAATTTGGGGCGTGCAATAAAAGCGATTTGTTTTAATTACTTACGCACATGGCATTTAATTATTTTTATTGATTAAATAAAACAATTAAGCTTATGTAAATTAATGTAGTCGACGAGTTAACTTGGATGTCTCTTTCCCTCTATATATATATTTTTTTATATGAATGTGTGTGTGTGTGGATTGTTTGGGCGTTGGGCGTAGAGTTGGTGGGCGTGGCATGTGGGCTGTGGGCATAGGAAAGTCAAGTTAATGGAATAGCTGAGCAGGGCAGGCAAGTAAAATAATTTAAGGCCAAGCATACAAAATTAATGAGGCCATTAAATCCTGGAGACGCTAAAGAGACACACACACAGAGCAGGAGTCTTCTGTATGACTCTGCGTGTGTGTGTGTGTGCTTGACAGTCAAAGGACAACTCTTTGTTGAGTCTCTGTTTATGACTCTCGGTGCGAGAGTGTGCGTGTGTGTCGCCTGTTTGGCGTGTGTGTGCCTCGTTTATACACTATGCAAAGCTGAATTTGTTAGCAGGGCATGTTTTCTTTTCGTTACAGAAAAGCATTTGTTGTCATCCTGTTGCTGCAAAATTTAAGTTTTTTTTGTTAACAAAATAAAACAAAAATTATTTTGATTAAAAATATTTACATTGCTAGGTTTTTAAAGGGGAAAAATTCGGATTAAAGCAGATAAAGCCATGTTTACCTAAGAAATTATTCGAGTAATACCTTAAAGATATAACTAATTTAAGCTTCTGTTATTATTTAAATTAGATTTTTCTAGTTGTCTCTTTAATATATTTTAGAAGCATTTTGAAACCCTTTAAATTACTTTAAAACGCATTTTGTTTTATAATAATTAAGTAAATAGTAAAACTTTTATATAGACTTATAAAATACTGCATTTCCCATTAAAAATACTTACTGTGCTTAGCTGAAACATTTTTTATGATCCTTTAAAATTTAAAAAAGTTCACAAATATATTATATTTTAAAAACTTTTCCCTGAAAAGCCACTTAATTTACTACCAACAGCATTCGTGAGCTGAGTTACCCGGAAAGTTTCCTGCTCGTTTGCTCCTTATTTAACTTGTGGCCGCTTTTGGTCCTTTTGGTCCTAACTCACCCACTCACACACACACTCATACACGTGCCTCAAGGAAGACAAAATGGTACAAAAATATCGCTCAGCATTATGGTTGTGCACCTTCAAGCAGCTGTCTCTTTGTTGCTCCAGCTCACATCCATCAGCGGTTGCCGATTGTCCTTCAGTCCTGCAGAGTTTCGTCCTTCTCTTCCTCCTCCTCCTTCTCCTCCTCCTCCTCCTCCAGGATCCCAGGATCGGACCCAAGCTGGCCTGGGTTTGGATGGCTTGGCTTAGTAGCATGGCCAGAAGCCCCTCGATTGAATGATGTTTTCTGGGCTCCCCCAAAAATAAACTGCCGTTTTCAACAATATTTACGGCCCGTTGTCTGTTAGCTTAGGTATACGCACACACACACACACACACACACTCTGGTATGGATGAGAGCGAGTGTTTTGTATTTACCTGCGTGTGTGCGGTTTACCTTTCGTCTTCGTGGCGCGCGCTTTTTTTTCGCTTATAAATTTCGCATGGCTGACGAGTATGGAGGCGGTATAAATACTACGCTACACTTTAAGGATTTTAAGTTAAAAAAATATATTGATTCCTTTATAACAAATTCTGATTCTTGCGAAGGAAATAATAAATAAAACCATTGGAGCATACGAATTTGTAGTCTTTCTTTTTTCCCTTGTATGCTCTTGGTATTAATAATAAAATAATTAAAATATTGTTAATAAATCATATATAATTATATTATAAAATTCAAGTAATGATTCCTAGTATGAAAGTTACAAATAATCTATAATTGTGTTTATATAATTAAAACTAAGGTGAATAAATGGTTAGAACAGAAAAGGTTTCACAAGATATGGCTTAAATATTTATTTTAATTTGCAAATATTAAGTAAATAAATAAATGTTATATTAAAATAATTTATAATCCAATATGCTTTAATAATAGTAAAATTAAATATTCTCTCTTTGAAATTCCATTTACAATGGAAAAATACCTTTTAATTTTAATACTAATAAACAACCTCTAAGAACCTAAAATTCATCTAAAAATTCCCCAAATATTACTTTAAATATTATAAAGTACTATTCCAATTTATAAACTATATAAATTCATAGTTTTTCTCATTGTGCAAAAGGCATATGTTGGCCAAAGTCGTTAAACGGGAAAGCGACCCCCAAGAAGGCCGCAAAGTATGCAACATAAAAGTGCGACGAGCACCTGACGATGCCAAAATGGCGGAGAGAGAGAGGCTTCATTAGAGATCACCTCGGCAGCGGGACAGGTAGAATTAGCGCGAACAGAGAGAGGGAGAGAGAGAGAGTGAGGGAGAGGGAGAGGGAGAGGTAGTGCCAAGGAGCGGGCCACGTTTTGCATTTTTGGTTATTTGCACAGGCGGTACAACGGCACGTATACGTAATAAAGTTGAACAAATAAAATTCACTTTTTTTTTTGTGGGTTCCTTCGGCGCAGAAAAGTTCTAATTTTTTCCATACCCCCTCCCTCTCCCCTCCCCCCCCACTACCAATTTCCACTCTGGCACTCCGTTGTTGTTGTTGGCCTGTGTTTTGTTTGGCTTTTGTTGGGCTTCAGTTGCAACCTAAATTTCATTTGAGGCACAAAACTTGTTTAGTTGGCAAACTTTGCGCGTCGTCAATATAAGGCTTGCCGAGGGTGTCGAGGGGAGCAAGAGGGGGAGGGGGCCGTGGATGAGGTTGAGCCCAGACAGTTTGGCATAGCCGCCGCACGCCATGATATAATCTGGTGCTGGGACGCCGTATTTATTACGCGCTGCCTAACAACTCCCACCCATTTGGGTCTAAACACACTCGCACACCCACAATTCTAATCGGAGCCACCCAAAATAGACACACACACACACGGATGGAGGCAGAAGGCCATTGGGTCGCTGGGTGCATATTGATGGAGTCAGTCTCGGGGTTGACCCACCAAAATAGGCATCTCCAATTTGCCATGGAAAATGTAGTTCTGACCAAATGTAGTTCTTTCTCAGCAAGTTCAAAGATTAAGGGCTGTAAGGAAATTGGTTTATATGGTAAATATGCAAAAAAAAAAAAAAAATGGGTAGACGTAAAAGAAAACAAATATAGAGAGATAAATTTGAAAATGTTTATAAGAAATGTGTTAAATGAGTAATGTAAAGTATAAGAAATACAGGAAATATAGTAAAGAAGTTATCATATAACTTACTAAGGAATAAGGTTTTCTTTAAGGCAATAAATATATATATAATGTAATTAATGCACTTTCAATCCTTTAGTATTCATTGCCATATTTTATTTGCTTTGTCTTTTTAAAAGGTTTGATCTAAACCTGTTCAACTAAAATACTTTTTAATTCTTTCATCAAGCCATTAAAAGATGGTATTATAACATACCATATTATATGAATAAAGGGAATAGGTATATTTACCAAAAATATATTTCAGGAATATGGAAATTCAAAACATATAAAATTTGATAGAAATTATAGATCTACAAATCTTGGATTACATCTTTTTTGATAAAGTTAAGTTCCTTTAATACATTAAACAATATTTTTTGAAATTGTTTTATGTTTAGACAAACTATAAACATACCTAATTACTTAAATAAAAGTAATATGTGTAAAGGATCTTTACAAAAAATAATTTTAAGGAATATAGAGAAACTTAAAACATTACATTTTATTCAAATTATAGACCTACATATATGTTTCTCTGGTATTTCTTTGAATAAAATGTTGGGCTTAAATTAATAAAGTATAATAAATATTAAAAGGATTTGAGGATAAATATGTAGGACTATTTAAATCACATTTAAGAGAGGTGACTATATTATTATCAAACCGATTTTTCACCTTTAAGTATGTATTAAATAATAATTTCCAATGAAGTTCATTTTAGAACACTCTATATTTCTTCAAGTGCATCCCATATTAGTTCTGTGTGTAATCTGCTTAGGGTATTCCATATTCTGCGTTCATGGACATCATTTTGGCCTCAACCGATTAGCCATATCGATTCCAGCCACACTTTCCGCTTGCCACGGTTTGTGCCCAGGGCCTGGGAATTGGAGGTTCGGTGTTTCGGGGAAGGGAAGGGAAGGGAAGGGGAAGGGTTCAGGTTGAAATGCATAATTGGCGATTAGACGATTGGCCCTAATATGCCAGAGCTTTGCAGCGAATAACAAGCGGAGTGCAGCGATAGCAGCTCAGTAGCAGCAGCAGCAGCAGCGGCATTGACAGCCACAGCAGAACCGGCGGCTTTTGGCTTTAGCCCCAGCTTCGGACGACCAACTAATTGGGTCATGTCATCCCCAGGAAGCCCCCGAAATCTGGTACCTACCTTTCTTTGGTGTCGCTGCGGTGGAGCCTTGAGCCTTGTGGGGGGAAGGCAACAGCAGCAGCAGCAGCAGGAAAAACAGACTAAGAACAAAAAAAGTAATGACAATGGTTTATGCTTTTCGTTTATATATATATATAGATATATATAATGTTATATATATTTCCTTTTTTCTTTGTTGTTCATTCAGTTGCTTTCATGCATTCAATGCTCGCCTTTGTCTGCGGGCTCCTTTCTCCTTGTTAGCTATGCCGCTCTGTTGATAAGTGTACACATCTATAGACTATATATTACTATACGTAGGTTTATATATATATATATATTATACAATACATAATACATAGGTTCAACTTAAATGCTATGGTTTTTTTCTTGCTTGCTCTTTTATGTCTCGTTTAAGATTACTTTCCGATGTAGGTGTGTTTGTTTGTGTGAGTGTTCTGTGTTTGCTGCGAGTCCTTTGAAGAAGGAAGTCCTGCGCTCATTTAGATGCAAAGAAAAAAGTCTTTGGTTTACCTTAAAAATATTATTTTGTGTTTGTTTCGGTTTTCGTCTTTTGCTTATTTTTGTTTTTCTTTCTTTTTCCTTAAATCTAAAGTCTTAGCACATACGGGCAATTAATATCTTGTGGATATGATTTAAATCTTTACCTGTGAGGGGGGAGGAGGAGGGACAAAAACTGGCATACTGACATACATATCTACATGTAAATGATGTGTGTGTGTGTGTGTGTGATGTGTGTGCACTTTGAGTACAATTTACATATGTTTATTTACGTATGCATTTGATGAATATTTTCCACTTCTTTTACTTGGGCAATTCCCCTTCGATTTGTTTTGCGAATTTTATTTGGTTTACAATTTTTGTTTGTTGTTGTTGGGTTTCTCCTTGTATAGCTCTAATTTATTGGGAAATTTACAAACTTTGTTGATTTTAATTTTTATAAGCTTCTATCATTTTTGTGTGGATTGCAGTAAATCAGTAGTTATTCGGTCACCAAGAAAACTGTTTCAATTTAATTACGATAGTATTTTTGTCTGATTGAATTGGGTCAACATTTATTTTTATTAGTTTTTATTAGAAAATTCAATTAACTGAAAAGTTGGTTTGTTGAGAAGGTTGTCAAGCTGTCGAGTTGTAAATAGACTGGTTTTTAAGAGGAGTGATGTTAAATATTAATAGTTTGGTATGAAAAATGTGTGTTTTTTGGAAAAGAATTTAAGAAGAATAATTTATAATGTATATTATAACCTTCTTTAGAGAAATTATTTACTAAGAAATCAGTTTAAAATATGGTATATAAAAGAAATTATTAATAATATACTAATTATAATAATTTTTTTGTTTTTTCAGAATCTTCTTCAGAACAATGGGGTAAGTCACGAAACCTTTTATCTTTTGATGAACTGAAAATGGGGTCTAAATATTAATTTGTTTCAGAATAAATATTTTAGGATGAGAATTTTTAAAATGTGCAAGACACAAGAAAAAGACTTTTAATATAAGTAGTTCAGTTAGGTTTTACTTTAATGGGAATTAAAATTTAAATGGGGATTCTTAAATATGGAACGTATAAGAAAATACATATTTAAATAATTAGTTTTAAATAATTCCAACATTTTCTGATTTACTGCTAACCCTTCGTGAGACCTGGTTAAGTTTTTTCTTGCATTATTTCACAGCTTATAATATGGGGAACATGGGAAGATTTCAACAATAGTCGGATTCAGAATTGGCTTTCTTTTCTATTCTTTTTTTACTACGGGATATATCTAATATATACACACACAGTTACAATGATTTATGTTAGTTCTTATGCAGTTTTTTTACCATTTACCATTTACCGTACTGTATACATATACAAATATATATATGCGTGTATTTTACAAATGTTGAGACACCATTTTTTGAATTTATTCAGTTCTGATTTACGATTATAATTCTTGGAGGGGAAACTGGAGGGAGGGGGATTTGGGTTTCTTCTTTTTAACACTTTTTCTTATTGAAAATTACACACACGGATTACACACACACATATACACATAAATACATATGCATATACATATATATATTTTATAGATTTAGTTACATTTTGCTTTTCTCAAATTTTGTTGGACTATTTTTCTTACAGGGAGTTGGGATTGCGTTTTATATTTTGTTTTGTTTTTTCTATAAAGAAAATGAACTGTACATATCTTAGTCTTAGGCGTTACGTTTACCATTTAGTTTTAGTTGTAGTTGTTAATTTTAATTTAGTTTAGGTTTTAGTTTTAGTTTAGTTGAGTTACTTGCCAAGAAGAGAGTATACTTTAGTGTTAGTGCAATTGATTTCGCTTTAGCTTTTTTTCTCTTTGCTTTGGGCAATTATTATCTTCATTCGCATTATCCTTTTTGTCAGACACTATCACAAACAGTTCGCTTGCACAATATAATAATAATATTAATAATAATCGCTGCTCGCCTAGGACCTTCTGCGCTATCTATTATGAATGTTTTTTATATATATTTTATATACCTAAACGGAGGAGGAGAAGCTGACGCTGCCTCCTCCCTCTTGCTGTGTTAAGTTTAGTCAGTTCTTGGTTTGGTTTCCTTTTTCCGGCTCCGCCATCTTTGCCGCTTTACACATCCGTTCCGCATCCCTCCTGGTAGCCCTCATCCGGTGAGTTGCGACTGCTGCTGATTAGGGCCCGTTTCAGGGCCGTCACCGGTGGCAAGACGGGCACACCGCCCTTTTGCCACACGCGTATCGTCTTGGCATTGATGGGCTGACCATTGGGCAGGATCGAGCAGGAACTGGATGAGCTGGCTGGATTCGCCTGGGCGGGCGTTGGCGAGGAGCGGGACGAGGAGCTGCCACCGCCGGCGTCATGCAGTCGTGGCAGAGTGCGACTGCTAAAGTGCGGACTGCTGCCAGTGGAGCTGCCCTCCTGCTTCTGATGGTTCAGCGTGGAGGTGAGCTGCGCCTGCAGCTGCTGCAGCGGATGCATCTGCAGCTGGTGGTTATGTTGATGCTCCGCTCCTGGCACCAATGGCAGGCCATAGTCATTGGGATAGCCACCGCCCACGCCCGATGAGGAGCCACCCGAGAGATTTGTGGTCACGGTCGAGGCAGTGGATCCAGTGCCTCCCACTCCCACTCCTCCTCCTGCTGAAACTAATCCCTGTTGCTGTAGATGCGACCTGGGAAATGTCTTGCTAAAGTAATCCGTGGCCGCGGTGCGCTCATGCAAATCATATAGCTGCGAGGAGGAGCTATCAATGATGGGTGTCTTATCCGTATAGCGTTTCATGAACAGATCATCAGCCGAGGTGGCACCCACGGATGCATTGTGCTCCCAGAGACCGGAGGGATACAGGGAGTCACAGCCATTGGCGCGACTATACTCTCCACTGCCTCCCACACCGCCACTAATGGGTGGTATTTTCAGATCCGCAAACTCATCGCTGCCAAAGCGTTGGGTGTCATTGATTAGATCCGGATTATTGCCACCATTTCCCGCCGATCCAGTAGGCGAAATGAAACAGGTGGCCGTGGACAGGACACTGCCATTGTTGTCATATCCTTGATTGGCATATGGTAGATCCGTTAGTCTCGGTGGTTTCTGTACAGGATTTGTGCTGCGTGGATCATGCGCCACATGGGATCCTCCTCTGCCTCCACTGCTGGTCTTCCGCTCCAGAGTTCCAGCTTGAACCACACTGCCATCGATTATATTGGCCACAGCTCCATTGGCAATGACCACTCCACCTATGCTGCCATTCCCAGTTGCCGGTTGTGTCTTGTTCGTTATGGAATTCTGATGATTGACCGATGTTATTACCTCCATGTGATTGGGGGTCTTGCTGTCCACATACGGTTGCCGTTTGACCCTCAGCAGGAGGCACATAATCACACCCAGAGCGAAGACAATCAGGGCCACCAGGGCGGCACTTAAACCCACAATTTGGCCACTTCCCAGTGAGGCCATGCCAGCGGCTCTCATGCTCACATGTAGCGTAAAGTTAGCCTCCGCCATCCCAGCTCTATTCTCCGCAACGCAATAGAACTCACTGGAATCCGTTTCCTGGGCATTGGTCAGAACCAATTTCGATATTTTCTCAAATCCACTCTCAATCTTCTCGAAGATGTGTACCCTTTGGTAGGCAGTGAAGGCAGAATTATTGGTCAAAAGTCGTCCATTCCAATACCAATTGATATTCGCCACAGGGATTGAGCGACCTCTGCAGATGATTGGAGCATTCTCACCCACTGAGGTCTCGACATAATGGGAAATGGGAAGCATTTCCGGTCGACAGGCAAACTCATCCACATGCAGATCGGCAAAGCTACGATCGATGATCCTCTCGGGTCCGCCCGAGCAAATAGGCGCAACCGGATATGGAATATTGCGTTGCATTAACCACAGTTTCGTATCTCTTAAACGGCAATCGCAGAGCCAGGGATTATCGTGCAACTCAATGCCATGCAAACGGCTCAATGTCTCAATGGTCTTTGGCAGCAATTCGCTCAGTTTATTCCCATTCAAACGGAGCAAAGTCAGACCCTGAAGGCCACCGAATGCCTGGGCGGAAATGGTTTGAATATCGCAATGTGACAGATCCAATTTGTGCAACGATGGTGTATTCGCAAAGGCCTGGCTCTCGATTTTGTGTATGTGATTGGAGGCCAGGGTGAGTTCCCTCAGCGATGAGATAAAGCCCAAGGCCAGACTGGGCACAGTAACCAGGAGATTGTGGGAGAGATCCAGCTCCACCAGGTTCGTGAGACCCTTGAAGGTCTCCCGTTCGATCTCACCGATCTTGCAATTGCGCAGATATAGCTTCTGCAGGTTGAGGAGATTGGCGCGAATGAATTGCTCATTGGACAGGGTCTGTAGCTTATTTCCGGACATGTCCAGTACCTGGGTATTGGGATCAATGTGTTCTGGAATCTGGATTAACTGACGATCGATGCATTCCACCGTCTGCTTGCCACCCTTCCATTTGCAGGCGCACACCGTCTGACAGGTGCTCAACTGCTGGGCAGGTGGATCCAGTTCAGAGCCCATGGAGTGATGACCAGGTGGTGGTGGTGGTGGATAATGATGCTGATTGTAACCATCCTCTGTCATTGGTTGACTATCAGCCACGGAGTAGACCTCGTTCTGGGATGACTGGGAGGATCGACTGGATGATGTTGAGGAACTTCCCTGCGCAGCTCCAACTGCTCCTCCTCCTCCTGCCACTCCATTGGCATAGAGATGCAGCTGATGATGATAGCGATTGCCCAGGATAAATCCAGGCAGCAGTACCAGGATTGCAAGTCCTATGATCTGCATTTTCCTTGGCTTTCCTTCAAGTCTTCTAGTTTGGGGTTGAGCTTTCTAGGCTAAAGCCCAGCTTGGTTTGGTTTTCAGTAACGATATCATATAGTTTAAGTTAAGTTCTTTTTCCCTTATGATAAGATAAGTTTTATTCTTTTCACAGGTTGTCATTGATTAGTTTATTATATTTTTACTTTATTTGAGTCTTTTTTTGTGTGTTTTGTGATATGGAAACTTTATTTAATTATTTAATAATGTTTAATAAGCTTTCAGCTTGGTTTGTTACTTTTCTTGATGTGTCTTGTATTTTTCTATTGATATATGGAACATTTGTGTTGCCTTGTCTTTTTTTTATTGTTTTCTTGATTATTTGCTTGATTTTAAGGATTTGCTTGGCTTTCGTTTAGTATCCTTGGGGTTTCTTTTTTTAGTTATTTATTTTTTAATTATGATATGGAATTTTTTGCTTATGGGTCAAGCGGAAAATTGATTAATTGCCGCCTTGGCCTCACTTGTTGTTGTTGCTGTTGCTGGTGGTGGTGTTGCGGTTTGGCCAAGATTTTCATGTTTCGCCGTAATTAGCCAATGTTATTTATAGGGCTAGCCTATAAACACACACAAAACACTCCGCACACACCACACACACACACACTCACTCACACTCGCCTGGATGATAATCGTTTTTATTTTTTGCTTTTTTTCTATTATTATTTTGCTACGCAACTTTTGCTAGCAGCACAAATTTTCCTCCGCTTTTCTTGCTTTTCACGTGCTGAATTCTTTAGTTGTGTGTGCATGTGTGTGTATTTTTTTCTAGCTTCTGTATATATTTTCTTAATTTTCTTCCTGGGGTTTTTTTGTTAGCGCATTTTGCCACGCAAAGCTTTAATTCGCATCGCGTTTTTTCGTCGTTTTCGGTTTCGGTTAAGGTTTCGTTTTCGTTTCGTTCGGTCCAAACTCAGGATGATACGCAACCGAAGGGGGAGGGTCAGTTCCAAACCGAGGGGTGGAATTTTGTGACTGTGGTTTTTCCGAGATTGTGTGCGATTTGCGATTTGTGTTTTTTCTTTCTTTTCTTTCACTGCACTGCAAACAACAAAACAGTGGTGAATCCTGGCCAAGGGGGACTCTTTATGCATCAGCATCAGCCACACACACACACTCGCGCGGACGGGCAGACACACACACACACACTCCACAGCGAAGACGACGGCGACGACAAGGACGACGGCAGGCAGCGATAACGATGCAACCGCTCGGCAGCTCCGACTTGAACTGACTTTATTGAACTTGATTCTAAGCTTCAGCGGTCGCTTTTCGTGTTCGTTTCGAGCCGAAGTGACTTCGGCCATTCGGCTCACCGTTCGTACTCAGCGAGAGAAAGCCAGAGAAAGTACCGGAGAGAGCCGAAAGGTTTGAGCATGTTGCTGTAACCGCTTCGCAACTCTGCAACATGTTGTGCACATGCAACATGTGGACGCAAAAGAAGTACAAAGGATTAAAAATACGTGAAAAAAAAAACAAAATAAACATGAATGAATAAAACGAAATTACGCACGCCTCCGTTGTAAAGATTGTGAATTATCCTGGCGCAATATAAATAAAAGGATTTATGCGATATAAATAAACTGAAAGGAAAGCGTGGACCGGATTGTCTGACATCATTAAAATCCTTTTAATTGAAGCAATGTCAATTTTTTGTATGGTTTTGTGTAGACAATTAGCTCAATTTTAAACAAGGAATCTTGGAAGGCTTTAAAAGATATTAATTATTAAATGGTTTTATTTTACCCGAATAAAACTTTCAATTTAATTTTATATTTCTTAATACAGATTTCTTTAGGTATACAAATGTTAACAAATTAATTAAAACAATCAAATAAGACATTACTTTCTCACAGCTTTCAAATGTTTTAGTTGTATCTGCTTAAAAAAACTATGTTAATTTAATTGTTAACATATTCAAAACATTTTCTAATCCTGGAAATCTGCCAACCTCTATTATGTTTTACTTTTTCTGTCTCTCTCTCTCTCTCCTTGTACATCTTAACTTTCCGACTAATTAACTTCGTTTGCCCAAGTTTAAGTTATACTAGGTAGAAGAAAAAAAAATAAACCAAGTTTTGTTTACAGCTTTCGAGTGTACTTGGGATATAGATATATTTCCAACAACTCGCTCCCCATTCTGTATTCTTTATTCCCACTGCCTACAGTCAATCAGCGATCAACCTACTCAGGCATGAAACACCAACGTCCAAAAAAATAAAGAAGAAACAAAAATAATAATATGAAAAAAGGCAACGAAAAAATCCGTCAGATAGAAGTAACAACAAAAGAATTGCTTAGCTTGCAGCCGGCACAGACGAATAAGTAGCTTGAAAAAAAACAAAAATAAAGCAGAGGGAAAAGATAGCTTGGCTTCGCTTCGCGCTTTGCTTCGCTTCTGCTTTGGCTTCGAGTGCGGCGCAATTTCAGTCTTGACCCAATGAGTCACATCCGCCAGATACGAGATGTACAGTTAGCACTCGATACAAGGGAAAGTCATCAAAACTTTCAGGTGAATGTTATGCGTGTTTAGTATTTGTAAAGATCACAAAAAATTACATATTGAAGATTAAGATTTTATAATCGATGGAACTTTTTACATTTGAATCGATATTTATATTTGTAATCGATATTTATCGATTCGAGTATTCATTTTTATATAATATTATTATCTGGAACCCTTTTGATGGAACATTAAGTTTCCAAAAAATAAAAATACCATTCCTACACCTATTAATTAAATTAGTGTTGAAGATACTTATTAAAAGTTAAAAATCTTTATTGATAGTTTAATATTTTTATATATTCATTTATATTTAATCAATTTTGTTTGTATTTTATTTTCTCATATCTCAACAGTTTTCAACATTAAAGTAATTTAAATTGGTTTTTGCTGTAATTTGAGTTATCAATTTTCTATTTTATTTTCTATCATATCTACATTTCAATCTTCATTTTTATATTATGCTCCCTCTTATTAAAATATTTAATTATTTAGTTTTTTTTTAATTAATTAACTTAAAAATTTACGTATTTTCTTATATATTATGGTATAGAAAATATCCAATATATTCCTAAAATGATATATATCTAATGTTCACTGTCTTTTGAATGGGTGAGTCGAATCCAGTGAATGAATTCATTGCATGGTGTTCAGCAAATTTCACAATTTGATGATTTTATGACCAAGTTGGAATTGTTCATTCAAGATCGCTTTACATATGTATCTCCCCGGCTGCTAGAGAGATCTGCTAAGCTATAGAAAATAAAAATAAAAACTATCTCGGTGGCTCGTTTAATGATGCCAAAGACTGTGGAGCCAGAATGGCGAAGAGCTCTAAACTAATTACCCGAGGGCCCGGGGCTTTGTGGAGTGGATGTGGATGTGAATGATGCTGAAATGGCGTATAAGTTACTTCACCTGCGGATGACTCCGGGGGCAGGTACATGATACCACTCTCATGTATCTCCCTCTCTCTCTCTCTTTCTTTTTTGGCCAGACAGGAAGCGCGCTGGCAGTGTTGCCTGTTTCCAGTTACCAGTTTACCTTACCTTACCTTAGCTTACCTTACCCTACCTGTTCTGCCAACGTATCTATCTACCTGTCTTTATTGCATACGTATATATGAATGAAATTGCATCGCCGCATCTCACAGCACCAGCAGATGCCTTCGTCCAGATTTAGATTGCCTGAGAAGTTTTCGCAGCAAACTTGTTTACGGCCAAAGAGAGGGAAGAAAAAAAGATACATAGATACGATGCCTGCTCCACAGTTGTTGTTTTGTCCCCTTTTCCGATCCAAAGAAGATGGTATAAAAAAAAACACGCGATGCATATGCTTGTTACACTCGAAG